AGGGACTTGACTACAGATAACAGCTTTACGAAGTGCCTTATTGTGTGGAAATGTATAGCGGCCAAACACTCTAAACGCATGTTTCTAAATGTGGAGGAAAAACCCAAAGGACCCGTAGAGAAATCCACGCGTCCACGGGGAGAGAGCCAGACATGCAAACTCCAAATATACAGAGCTAGACCCAGTCCCTCCACAACATTCCAAGTCAGCTGTGGCCTCTGGAGCGCACGCTTCCTGCGCTTGAGCTGTCCAGTATTATCAACGTTCTGGCTGCCTATCCCACAGCTGCCAACTGCCAACGTCAATGAGCTTCCTCGACGAACGTACGTTCCGTAAGCACTGACTGTGTTCCTAACGGCCAGTGACAAGCCCACTTGGCTCAGGATCCTCCTGGCGTCCGCCTGCTGCTTGCTGTGTGTCTTCACTGTGTCCGTGTGTCTTGCCTGTGTTTGTTTAGTCGACGTGGCGAGAGAACACGTGTCGGAACCGCCACAGCCTCACTTGCCAAGGAAAGTCCCTCCCGGGCGGATGGCCGCGTCATTCCAACCTGGGGGACCTGCTCGTGCAGCAGTATTAACGTAAATGGGTTCACCGCAGTCGATTGGCAGGCCAGTGTGGTGGGGTAAAGTGTGGGTACTTTCACCTGTTCCAAAATGTATGGCTGGGATGGAAGGGTATCCCAAAATACCCTGTTGAAGGGCTCGCTCGAGTGAAGGTCCGAGTGGTGTGAACGAGCAACTGCAGGGCTCCACCCTTACCTCCATTGGGATGTTAATCCAATGCAGTGCAGCCATTGAGTGTTTGGCTTCGTGTGGGAGGGGAGTCGAGTACCCGGAGGAAACCTCACACATACGAGGGAAGGGACGCTCAACACTCCACACACGTTCAATCCGCAGACGGGAGCAATCCAAAATATAATAGGGTCCGTGAGTCATAGGTCGCAGCCCCCTTGGCTCTGCCTGGCAGTCTTTGGCCACGAGACATCACGACGAGCTGCCCCTTCGGGCTGCTTGGCACACTTCTGTCTACCAGGTAACATCGTCCCAGTTCCGCAGTATGAAGCTTCGTGCGTGGTGGGGTCACAGACACCTCGCGCAGCTCCCCAATTACGCGCAGACTGCTGCGACAAGACTAGCGCCCTGAGCCCCCTGACCTCGCTGCGCACGAGCACACACGCACACGCACGAATGGACACGAACGCGAGCGTGCACGTGTGCATGGACACGTGCATGGACACGTGCATGGACACGTGCATGGACACGTGCATGGACACGTGCATGGACACGTGCATGGACACGTGCATGGACACGTGGCTACTGTGACCCCCCTTGTTGAATTTTGTTTCAACCGAGTACCCCCCCCCCACCTTTCCTGACCCATCATGGTGCTGAGAAATAAAATATTTTAAACAATTGTCAATTTTGTGAGGTATCCTAACTAGCTAGCAACTGCAATCGAGTAATCTGTTCGCGCCTGCTGGTTACGTTTGTAAACCACATTGTTTACGATCACTGAGTTTAGAAAGGTATTTTATATCGTTCTAGGTTACCACGTGGCTTTACACATTATCCTAGTTATTTTACATTGGCAGCTTCATACATGATTATTCACCAGCGACTCTCATGTACGATATAATTTCACACATTTATAAATCACCTCACGTACCCCTTAGGACATGGCCACTGCCCTTGAGGAAGCTCTGTTGCACAACGCACGCGGCTCCCCGTGCCTCGGCCGGGTCTGCTTGAGATGCACAATGCACATTCTAACGATATTCAAATGTATACAGCACGCTATAAACGAGGATTGCTACCTGTTTGGGAAGCAGGAATTAATTTGTGTCGAGGTCTGGTACTATTATTGTGTTGAACTTTATCGCAGAATACTGCGTAGTGTTCATAGGCACTATACAGCTTTAAACTATTTGTATTTCACCAGGTAAGGCCCCCTGAGCTATGTAGCGCCTTTTCAAAAGCGACCTGGCCACAAATTATAGCTCAACGAAGTGGCTTACCATCACGTGGAAATGTACAGCAGCAGCCATAGGCTCTAAACGCGTTACGTTGCTGATTCTAAATGTGGAGGGAAACACCAGAGGACCCGGAGATAAATCCACACGACCGCGGGGAGAGAGAGACATGCAAACCGCAAATATACAGGCGTTGGGGCTGGGATTGAACCCACGTCCTCCTGCGTACCTGGCGAGGGAGTTAACATTTCGCCACGAGCGGAGCATGAGTGTTTGAGCACGGGGAAGCGAGAGTGCTTGCTTGAATCTGAAGGCACAACGCCTTGCAAGTCTTCAGCCACGGCCGTGGCATCTCCTCTGCGGTACAACACCCCGACATCGTCTTGATGCCCACACCAATTAACGGGCTTTTGTTCCTCTCTCTCTAAATGTTCCCATGGTGAATTAACCAAAACATAAAAATCTAGGGCCCATGCAAGCTCTGCCTCCGTTTCAGAGGCAAATGGTGCAATTAAGGGCCCTGTGTAACTCGCCGGTGGGTGGTGGGCGGCCGCTCGAAATGTCGTTCTCATTAGCGAGCAACACAGTCGGCCACTCCTCGTGGCTTCCGCGCTCCCCTAAAAACCGGAGTGGGGGGATCAGCCCCCAAGTAAATTTTATTCCAATCGGTGAAACGCGATCAAGCGCGCGTCCCCTGCGACAAGTGGCTGTGACCCCCACGGACTCCTCAGCGCCGTTTGCAATTGCAGCTCTAAGAGATGATTTCGTGAAATTCCACAATGGTCGTGGCTGAGCAATTCGAGCGAAAGTGAGGTTTGTTGGGACCATAATTAGGCTCTTGACCACGTGCGCTGTTTCATTTGTATCCAAAGTCTCGCCAAGTGCAGAGAGAGAGGAGAGCTGCAATCAGAACTACATTCAGCAAAATCAATTGACTTGTGTGTGTCTACGTCGTGTGCCACTGCGTAAGAATATTTTTCTGCGCATTTGTTTTTGAAAGTAGATTGCTCCAAACACCCGAAACATATTCGAACAATTAGCCGGGCGGTGGTGGCTATGCTGGTTACAGGGCCTGTGATCCGGCACTGTGGAGGCAGCAAGGGTTGGTGGATCGCGTAAACGCTGTGAAACTCCCTTCCTGTGGGTGTCGAGTTGTCATACTCGAGATGTCATACTCTAGCTCACCAGGAGAAGGCGTGGGTTTCCCCCGGCTATTCCAGTTTCCTCCCACATGTGAACGCCTATTAATTAGCAAATTACACCTTCATATACAGAGGACTGCAGAGCTTGGGCAGTTATTGGTGGTGTGCTCACCACGTGGCTGCTGCTTCCCCGCTCATATGTGCTTCTTCCTGACGCTTCTGGGTCGTCCTGTTTGTCTCCCTCTAGGAGAGAGCGATGAGCAAATACTATGGGGTGGCACTTTACAAGTTTACATTATTATCATCAACACCTGCACGATGATGCGACCTTGGCATTTTGCCTTCCAAAACTTCCCAACCTTTACTCTTTGGTTCTTTCGGTAAAGTCACGTGTTGATGATAACGAAAGAACCTAAGAGTATGGATTCCTGCAGTCACGAAAGCTTCAAATTAAGAATCCCAACCTTTTTTTAATTATTTGTGGCTTTTGTTTGAAGAGCAATACGCTTATGGATCTACCTCTTAAATTGTTCAGCAGTGAGATAAGCTTCTGGGTGACGAAGACCTTTTATTCCTCCTCCTCCACGGGAAGAAGCTCAGAGGGGATTCGTGTTGTCGATTTGCTCCATTGTTGGGCCAAACGCCGGCGTGTCGTCTCGCCGCTCCCGCCTCTTCTGCCTTTCCTCTCCTCGTGTCTAGCTCTTCGTTTTATTTCTGGGTGAATGTTTTTTTACTTTTCGTTATTTTAATTAGCGCCCTGAGAACGATTGTTTGAGGGCGCTTTATAAATGATCAATTCGCGCGCGTTGGGGTTCTTGTAATGCACAACGGAGTATGATTCGCGGTAGATTTTTTTGGGAGAGGGTCGTTCGCGCAAATTCAAATGCGCGCCGTGGTACGCGAGTTGTCGCGTGAGATTAAGCGTGGACAACTTGACTACAGCTCCGGCAGTACCGGGGAGCCTCACTCAGTCTCAATTTTTTTTCAGTGGGAGGGGGATCCAGCTCACGTTTCTATAGTGGGGGGGGGGGGGGGCAATGACGACGTCGGATGCCGCTCTGTGGGATCCCAGTGCGGTATTCGCAGATACATTTTCAGCATCGGGATGTTTTGGCCAACACCGGTTGTATTGCATGGGTTGTTTATTTATTTATTTTGTTTTAGCTAAGGGAAGGAAACCGGTGGAACCTGGAAGAAAACCCCACACAGACTCGGGGGAGAACATACAAACGTACAAACTACGTGCGAAAAGGATCCCGAGCCAAGAAATTGAACCCAGGCCTTTATAGTTGCGTGGCACAAATGTCACCACTGGGCCACCTTGCCGCCCAACTAATAGAGCACTCTGTTGATGATCAATTTATTATTCAGCAATGTGGGTTATGTAATTTCGCATCAAAGTAGGATCCATATCTAACACAGACTGTGCCTATAAAGCAGCTAGTGGTTCACCAGCATTGGTTCAAGCAATCCTGACTGCTGATGTTGAAATCAGTCCAAAGTTTGGTTGTGTTGAACCAATACTGCTGATACTATGCACTTGCCAGTTGCCCGTGGGGCTGGTGTGATGTGTATAAAATACTTCGTTTTTTTAAGTGGAGCGACAGATGTGTTAAGGAGACATTCTGCCGTAGTATATATATTTACGTTTGTTACCGGGATGTTTTAAGTTTTACCGCGGCGTTAATGACGGACACGGTGAACATAGTTTGGTTTGTTCTTCTGCAGGCAGTGCCAGCACAGTCCCCGGACGATGTGGCTGAGTTTGCATCCAGAATAAACTCTTGCTGTGGCCGGCCAGCCACGGTCAGAGCCGAGCACGTGTGCGGCGCTGACGCTGACGCTGCCATCTGCTGCACCCCCTTCCCTCCCTGCCCTGCTCCCCGCAGATCCGCCCGGAGCTGCTGCATGAGCTGCGCTCCGAGTCGTGCAAGGGGCGCATCCTGCGTCGCGCCATCAGCGTGCCCGCCGACAGCCCCATCATCGTGCGTCCCGCCGACGTCGACGCGGGTAGGTGGCCTTGCGGCGCTCCCCCGGCAAAACCGCGAGTGCCCGATTGTGTGCGGGCACGCGCCCCCGGCGCAAGAAAGTTGCGGCGCGCCAACGAGGCCCTGTGGAGTTCGGGACGACGGTTCGTTTGAGACACGCTCCTGCAGGTCTGCGACGCGCGTCCGTGTCTCTCGTCTCGACGAGGAGGCCGCGGCACTGCCTGGTTTGCCCCTTGCGATCGGTTTGAGCAGCTTTTGCGGGACAATGCGAGGGGTGAGAGGGCGAGTGCAGCAGTGGAGCCCACGGGCCGTGCGGTCGCCGCCAAAGCCCGCACAAGACCGCACACGACCGGGATTGAGCAGAATTAGTCATTCAAGGTGAACGTGTAGGTTACATCACCGTGAGCCACCAATCCGAGCCAGATTCATCGTGGATTTAAGTGGAGTCTCCGATAGTTTGGCTACTCTGCAATGTTCACTCCTTTGAGTTCTCATTTGAATTTGATGCAAACGCAGCAATCAAACTTTTGCAAACGATTGCTGGACACCATTGCTGTGGTTGCTGTCCCGCTTGTGTTGATTTTTTTTTAAATCTTGCACCGATGCATGATGTTGGACCCGGTGTGTTCTTTTCTTTGACGTTCCTGAGCGCACTCCCAGAGAACGTGGCATGGAATATGTGAATGTGCCGTCTAAGACGTTTATGAGTTTCCACAAAATACTACTTTTGCTATTTTAATACCCGCAGCACTTTCTTCACGTTTAATACAATGCAGTTAATTTATTCAAAATGTTAAGTGTAGGTTCTGCACTTTAAATTCCTACTTATCTAGAAATACTACGTTTTTTTGTAAACTGCAGCAAGTTGCGGTTGTACAGTGCCAGGAAGGTGCCAGCCCCATTCCCTTGAGAATGGGGCTGGTGCGTGGCCTGCGCGTGGAGGCTTGCCGCTGCGCCTCTTTGCAATGCCTCCGTTGTGAGATGGCTCCTCTCCTAATGAGGCCTCCTGGGAGTAGCTGTCCCACGGTTTCCCGAAAGTTCAGGCCACAAAAGTGATTTTTCCTGTTGTTGAGGAAAGGGCTTTGGTGACGCACAGTAGTGAATCGACGGTGCGGGCCGTGATTGTGCTGTGAGTGGCTATGCCTACACGCACAAGTAAGTCAACCTTGAAACAAGGCGCTAAGCTTATCTTATTTTACACATTTATGCAGGGCGCCTATGATCAAGGCGCTTAACGTTATTAAAAAAAGGGTATCGACAAAGGAATAATTTAGATGGCGGGGGGCGTGCGAGGGATGAGGAATGGGCGAGCACGGTAGAGGGGCGCATGGGGGGGGAGTGGAAGAGGAAGGGAATGGGCAATAGAGAAGAGGGTAAGGCCGTAAGAGATGAGCGGGAAGGTGGTTAAGGAGGGGGGGGGGGGGGGCTGCTTCATGAATCTGTATGAACTGAGCGTGCGGTGGACGTTCGACATTCCCATGGCAGATACATTTTCATAGCTGGTTGAATTTTGCTGTCGTGTATTTTATTTCTTCACAACATATTGATGAAATAACAAAGTCAATAATTAAAGTTGTAAATAAATAGGCATCCATGATGTTAATGATTTGCATTCCAGGGTAATTGACGACATGGTGATTATAGGACGTCATACATATCGTAGTGAGTGTAATTGACAGCACGTGCATTACAGGCATTAGAGTGTATAATGAGAGGGAGATTTACAGCGGGCGTATGTTGAACGAAGGTCTAATAATGGCTCTCTACAGGCCTGTGCATATAGAAGGGTCTGTGTAATGCATTTCAGATAACATCTCATGCAAGAGAACATGTATACGCTGCTTTTCACGATCATGTTTGGTTTTGAGAAACCAAACCTGCTGTCACTCACCCCGCTGGAGTGCAAAGCGCCTGAAAAATATTCACGCTTAGAATCGCGCTGAGAAAATGGACGGACAGAGTACCACATGGGGTTTCAACAGACCGACACAAATCATGTCCCTCGTAAAACTGTTCAGGAAAGCAAGCGGCCCTGGGCAGGACGCATCGCTAGAAGGGGCAATAGCCGCAGGTCGAGGCCGGCGACGCAGTGGCAGCCGGACGATGAGCGAACACACCAGCGAGGGCGACCTCCGCGGAGACGGAGCGATTGCGCGCGGGAGCCGATTGGATTTGACGCGTCGTGACAGCACGAGGGATGGGGGGACCCCTTCATCCAGCAGTGGATGGAACGTTGTTGGTCAGACTCAAGGGAGCACAGGATGAATTACAAGTGCCGGATTTTTCGTTAACACTGCTTTACAATTACAAAAACAATGCATTTCAAGATAAAGTTTCGGGCAATGACCCTTCTTCCGATCACAGAGAAGGATATGATCTAAAATCCATGGAGGCATACTTTATTCAAAGGGGAAAGTTACTTTATTCACACACACACACACGCACGCACACACGCACAGCTAGCGTTAGACTGTGCGCTGCTGCTCCCTTTACCGCTGCGGGGCCATCACACACATGCTAATTCCTGAAGGTCGTGTCTCATTTCCCTAATACTGTATTCTCGCTGTATCAGACCATCCGAGCCAAAAACTCAACACGTTCGTCAATAACACCGAGGAACAAATGTGTGTAATTTGGCACGCCACGGTGGCGAGATGTCAGCTACCTCGCCTGGTATACAGGATATTCTTGGGTCTTTCGGTAAAGTCGGTAAAGTCACGTAGATAGGTTCAAAGACCCAAGAATATGAATTCCTGCAGTCACGAAAGCTTTAAGTCATGGTATACAGGAGTTCATGGATTCGATCCCGATCCTGACGATGCCTGGCTATATATATTTGGAGTTTGTGTGTCTCTCTCCCCGTGGTCGTGGAGATTTTTCCTCCAGATCCTCCGTTTTTTCCCCCCCTCCACATTTAGAAATCCGCGTTTAGACTATTTGGCTGCTATATACATTTACACTTGATAAGCCACTTTGCTTGAGCTATAATTTGTGGCCAGGTCGCTTCTAAAAACGACAGCTGTATAGCTCAGTGGGCATTACCTGGTAAAATAAATAAAAAGTTTCGTTTTGAGTCTTAATAGAAATAGGCGACATTTCGGGCTTTCCTCAACAACAGGAAAAATATCACATCACAGCACCGTAGCGGTGATGAGCAGCAGCTCAACACGCCCGCACGCACGCCCGCCCGCCCGCCGCTGTGAGAATGAGACGGACGGGCCGCTCCGCCCCACTGTCCCCGACGGACACACGGAGCTCCCCCGGCACGGAGCTCCGGCTCCCAACAAGCGAACCCCACGGTACAATGCCCGCGGACCTCTCGGGGGTCAGGCAAGAGACCTTCAGGATGAGTAATGAGAAATACACGTGCGGTGCATCCACGATGCAAAAATTGTACGACACTGTCGCTCCTCAAATTGCTCGCAACTGTCTGACGGAGCTCGATGGATTATTATTTTTAACATGTATATCATGTTCGGGAACTTGGTAATTTGCTAATGAAATCGTTTGTTTTCTTCCAAAATTATAATTTGCTCTTTGGAAAGGGCACGTCGTGTATCCGATGATTGCCATTTGGTTCATTACGTATTTTTCTCAAGTGTTGCGCAGTTATAACGACTAGATTTCTTAAATTTTGAAATTACATTTTTTACGAAAGTATAAATAGATTTAAAATGTCATTTTTAAATGTCATCTCTGCAATAGGAAATCGTTAACATAAATTACTCGAAGGATTACAATTGCGTTAAAGACATTCATAATCACGGTAATTAAAATTATTTTAACGGAGATGATTTAAAAACGTCAAACGTTACGGCATTGTTAAGTTGTGACAATGTTGATCATTTTGATCACAACTATGAAAATTACAGACAGACCTGAACAATACAAAAATCTCTCATCTCAAAAACTCTTTCCAGGAATCAATCCTGGGATACCAGGATTGTGTTGCAGTGTGCTAACCATTGTGCCACCACTCCCACCTAACCAGACATCCTTACACGTGGCTATAACGAGACACCCACACACTGACACTTATTAATAACCAGACACACACCCAGACTTTATTTTAACTAGAAAGGCAAACATCCCCCGTATGGCCTTTTAACAGACTGTAGGGGCAAGTGCTGTTAGCGTGCATCTATGAAGGCCGGCACGGCACACGAGGGGGTGAGTGGCCAGCACCACGCCCCCGGCTACCTTTGTCTCCATATTGCAAATGGTTACACGTTGCACCACGTGCTCATTTGAGGCTGAGTCGACCTAGGGAAGCCCCAGAACCAGTCACTGGTGCTGACCGTGAGTGGGAATCGAACTTGGGTCGCTTGATTTGTAGCGCAGCGTGCTCACCGCTCCCCACATAACTACGCACACTTACACGTGGTTAAGACCAGTCACCACACGCACCGCACGTCTTGAATGTGCAGTGGTAAAGCTGCACGTGGCATGGGATACACCTGGCAAGTGGCTTCTGGCTGCCTCGTGCCCACGGAGATGTGCTCAGACTGGAAGACAACTGGCCCTGAAGTGGAACAAAAGGCCAACTGCCAGCACCATGCCAGCCACTCACGGCCTTGACGAAGGATGATCAAGTTCACTTTCAGCTCTTGTGCATCGTTCGCACGACTATTTCGTATCCACGACAGGATCATTGCAAGTGTTTCTGAACGTTTAGAAACAAACGCCCATGTTATCCCTCCATCGCAAGCTAACATTTACCACCGAATGCCAACAGCGGTATAACAGGAGGGCAGTGATGTTAACCGGTTCAATTGCCAAATCGGTGACATAGAGTGTGGAAGATGTGACGTTCCGGGGGTGTTTTTTGGACCATGTGCCAGGCGAATGGCAGTGACTCGATTGTGTCCCCTCCTAAATGGTGCCAAAGCATCCTCCCGGATGTTAAAAGCAATCACGGGGTTATTTCCAGCGTTTTTCTCGGGAGATTAAAACACGCCTCGCTCTTCGTATTGACAGCGATTCAATCTTATCGGCGCGCAACCTGTACATTCTCACAATGGG